ATAAATATATAATCAGTAAAATATGTAAAGGTTTAGGTATATCACAAATGTATGAATCGTGCATGATATCGAACTGCGATCATTGGATCTGCGAGACGGTGTGTTAAACCGCATAACCACCGAGGCAGTCTTATATAATACTAGCTATACTCGCGACTTCGTCCGCGTGGAATTAAACTTTATTTTTCTAAAATAAAAGTAGACTAAGTTACTCCTTATTATATCAGTTACCTGGCAAAAAAAGTCACGACCGAAATCGGTTCAGGCATTTCAGAGATTAGCCGGAACAAACAGACAGACTGATAACATTGTAAAAAATGTTATTTTGGTGTATATACCGTATTTATATTCATATGCATGTAGTAAAAAACGGTTATTCCAATATTACAAACAGACACTCCAATTTTCTTTATATGTATAGATTTAGATATCATTATAAAGAAAAGCTGATAATTAAAGTAATAATATCAGCCGTAGCAACATTATACATACATAGGTCCTTGTATTTGACAATAAAACAATACTGAATTCGGTACATTGTCTTTGTTTTGTTTTGTTTTACACAGTAATTATTTTACTTTGAATACTTAAAATTACTAAACATCATCTTAGCATATAAATATATATTTATTATTGTTAGTGTTATCAGTAGTATGCTATATTTTTACTAGCTGACCCGCAGGTGACCCCCTTTCAGGGGCGGATCGTGAATTTATGGGGCCCTGGACTAAATCTACTTAGGGGCCCTACCGTACCTACCTAATTATTATTCGATTAACAAAATACACCGACCAAAAACAAGCGACCAGAAATTCCCCGTTCCTTTCGATAGACGTGAACTTGCATGTTTTGTTTGAGATCAGAGTTGCCAACCTTATGACAGGTTTAACATTTTAGATATCGTTTCAGCAGAGAGCCGGGGCCCTTTGTATTCTCGGGGCCCTGGGCTGCAGCCCAAAAAGCCGTTAGGCAGATCCGCCCCTGCCCCCTTTCTTAACTATAAATATTAAATACTCATTGGTATAATTAATAAATAAAAGTTACCCAATTATTTATATTTTTTATAAGAATTAACGAATTCGGTCCCGGCGTTCGAGCGTAATGCCCTGACCAAGAGAAATAGGGTGTCATTTACATATTGCGAAATTATATATATATACTAGCTTTTGCCCACGGCTTCGCTCGCGTTAATTTATACCCTTAGGGGTGGAATTTATCAAAATCCTTTCTTAGGGGATGCCTACGTCATAGTAGCTTTATGCAAGCAAAGTCTCAGCCCGATCGTCTTAAAATTGACAAAGTTTCATACAATCTTTCATCCCATATTTTATCCCCTTGGGGGTAGAATTAATCGAAATCCTTTCTTAGCGGATGCCTACGTCATAACATCTACTTGCATGCCAAATTTCAGCCCGATCCGTCCAGTAGTTTGGGCTGTGCGTTGATTATAGTAGTAAATATTTATAACTTCCTTATCATTATTGTTCTACTATAAAGTAGTTATCATCTTCACTTATCTTATTAATTAAGTGCCACAGTCGTGATTCGTCTAAAAAATTACATAGTTGTTAATACTTCTAGCATTAATTGTTTAATTTGATCAAGAAAATTAAATAAATGAATAAACAATAGAATAGAATAGAATAGAATAGAAAATCATTTATTCAAATAAACTTAATTTAAGCACTTTTGAATAGTCATAACAATTTGTTTTTTATCTACCACTCGTTCGGAAAGCTGTCTCATCACAAGAAGAACGAGCAAGAAACTTGTGTTGCTCTTTTAAATAATCCTTGTAAGTTTACATTTACAAGTCGAAACGTGTGAATACAAACTACCAACAAGCACTAATTTTTTGGGTCAAATATAATCATGCAATAAGATTAAATCAGTCGTAGTGATAAGAGCATCCCTACAAGCAGCACTCGTTCACGAGTATGACGGATGAGCCAGCCATCACTGCGCTCGACCATATTTTAGGGAGCCCATTGACCCGGCCCACCACGCCGCCACATGTCTGGACATTTTAGTGAGCATGACTACTCATTCCACACGACCACGTCACAGCTACAAAAATTACTATATGGTAGTTACAGTATTCGCACTTTACATAAGGATGCATGCGGCAATCAATACAAAAGCCGCTACGCTATCATATGATATATGATAGCGTAGCGGCTTTTGTATTGATGCATGAAAGCAGTATGAAAATTAAAATTATAACGTTGTCCGCAAATAAACTTATTCTTGCTATATATTGCTATCATCTATAAATTCATCTATCTTATAATAGGCTTTTTTACATAACATTTGTTTAATATAAGATTTGAATTGCCTCTCTGTAAGATTTAGCGTAGACTGGCAGTTTATTATAGAATCTTACGCAATTACCATAAAATGAATTACTAACTTTGTGTAGACGGCATTTCGGTAAAATTAGCTTATTTTTATTGCGTAAGTTTCTACTTGTACAGTCTTTAAGTTTCTTGAAACTATCTTTTTTCCTTGTATATAATATTTTCATAAATGTACTGTGAGGCAATATAATATACAATTAAATTTAATCTAGACCAGTTTTTCTCAATCTTTTTTGTGTCATGCACCTCTATTGCCTTTCTTGTGCGGTGGCATTAGGTAATATACATAATTTTAATTATTTGATAATGTTTCAATTATTCTCTAAAGAAACTTAAATGATAGGTTTTAGGATGAAATCACTAGTAAATTAATAATAATAATAATAATAATAATCATTTATTCAGCATAAAAAAGCGTACAGATAAAAAAGAAAATTTAAAAACTAATAATTCGCTATGCTGAAAAGGCTTCCACTCAGCAATTTTGGCACTGAAATCTAGTAGTGTCCGGATTCTCCCGTCGAGTCCATTTCCATTGGGTTACACCGGTTTAGAAATAATAATCTCAAGACAAGTCACACAGCGCCATCTCGACCCAAATTAACCTATTAGATAAATGATACAAATACACAGATATTTTTTTGTAAATACATTTTAACATATAAAACACACAGACCGATACAAACAATGATTGTTTGTATTGGTCTCATGAATACAACTTGTGCCGTGATAGGAATTGAACCCGCGACCATCCGAAGTAAGGCGGTGTGCTAAACCGCTAAACCACCGAGGCCGTCGACCGACATTTGAGTAGACATTAGGTATTATTGCCCAGGTAGACTGCATTGGGTCTATATTGGGCTCACCTATTAGAGATGTTGATCAACTTGCATTGTAAGCTGTGCTTCGGTTGAATGATGGAGATCAGGTGGTCAAATTACAGGTTATGAGACATGAGATCTTAATCCCGCGGATTGACAACGAATTACTGATATCACGAGCAACCCCCGTCACGATATCACGAGCAATATCATGATTACATGATAACGTGATGTACGTGTTGTTGTTTATGTTTGTAGGCGATGGTTATCACTTACTGTCTGGTGTACCGTCAGGTCGTTTGCCATCCCATCATCGTCATCATCTGCTTCTTCCTTATCCCATTTATTAGGGATCGGCGTAATATGTTTGACATTCTATTTATATAAAAAATGTAGACAGCAATTATGTTACGAATACATAAAATACTATAACATTCTTAGGCGATAAATCTTATTATTATCGCACTCTGTGGTTTTCCCTACATCAAAGACTTATCTACATTATTTAGTCTATAGTCCATACCGACAAATATTTTTAAATAAGAAATAAATCAATTTATTATATTATATTTATATGTTATCTATAATGAATCTTATTTATTCATAACATACTATTTGAGTATCCCAATACGCTCACAGGAGATATATGTGACTATACAATAATTAAAAGAACAACGTTTTGAAGTTTATACACTATTTAAGTATAATAGATAGATATAATATACTTTTTTTTATAATATAATAATAATAATATAATAGACAATTTACACAGCGCCATCTAGACCCCGGGTCTGCTAGCGACAGTTTGTGTTATGACTATTAATAACTAATACAAATACATAGTAAACAACCGACCGATACAAACAATCATACTCATTAATATAAATGTTTGTGCCATGCGAGGAATCAAACCCACAATAATAAATTATATACTAAAAAAAACAGATATAATATAATAAATAAAATGTATATAAATACTAATAGAATAAAAATTATATTGCATATACTTACATTACCTACATAATGTACTGTCATCCTAAGAAAATTACATTCTAATTATAATAAGTCTAGTTCTGGAAATCGATTAAAGACAATAATTAACTTTTGAGTAGACTCAGTGCAATAGAAATGGGAGCCTGCTTTTGCTAGCTCTGTTCATCTCCATGGAACATCAAATAAGGCTCGTATGCTTGGTTATACGTAATTATGGGCAGATGGAATGGCTATGGATGATAGTATCGCACGGTCACATTAATCCGAGAGATATCATTAAGTTTGCACCTTGCCAAGACCCAGCGTCACGTCAAATATTTACTGTGATAGTTAACAGTACCTCTGACATTTCCCTGGATGGGGAAAGGCATTGTTAGTAATGAAAAACAGAAGCCCGCTTGCTAAAAATTTACCATGTTAGGTCGACCTCCACGCGGTCCTCCCTGGAAACCAACGTGATTTATTCCTGGTGAATTCGTCACGATGGGCTAACTGACCTAACTTCACGCTCATCCTATCATCCTCCACTGGTGCCCCGCCAGCGTAAACCGTTAGCGCAGGTGTGTGCATTATTTCATTATAGTCCATAAAAAACATCACCCTGGACTATCGTGGTAATTTTCCACTTACCAATATTGATTGAGGTCAGGTAGCCAATCATAACAAGTAAAGTAAGTTGGCCCATGATAAAATGATTTTATCATCCTCCACTGGTGGCCGCCAGCGTAATCCGTTAGCGCAGACGGGAGCATCATTCCATTATCATTAAAAAAATACCTCTGACTACACATCTGAAATTCGTGAAGGGTACATTATATTTTTAATTTGTTACAGATAAAAAATGGAGCCACTAGTTGTGAATGTTGTTTATTTCTACCCGAAAGAGAACGCAGAATCACATAATACAAGCAGGTAAGTTGTATTAAAAACAACCGACGAACGAACGACAAATACATATGTATGTTACATCTGTTCATACATACTAACCTACATATAACACGCAATATTTATGAAATATGTTTTACTAGCTAGTCGCCTCGGCTTTGCACGGGTTTACATGTATTATATATAAAATCCTTTCTCTTGAATCACTCTATGTATTAAAAAATAAACCTCTTCAAAATCCGTTGCGTAGTTTTAAAGATTTAAGCATACATAGGGACAGACAGCGACAGCGACTTTATTTTATACTATGTAATGTAGTACGTTTTAGATATTGTATAAGTTAAAGAAATTATTTTGTGTATTAGTATTTCAGTAATGCCATTTGCGTCGGATTTTTCGTGGCTTTTTAACGATAAATTCATTGATCAGACCTTGAGTGTGACCTCAAAATAATTTATTCTCTTCGTTCATCTGTTTCGATTTTAATGTTAAGTTAACGGCGATTATGGTGGTAAATAATGATATAATAAATAAATAACAGACGTCCTTAGCTGGACTAGACACAAAATTAGATCGATTTGCCAGTTACAAAATCAGGATAATTTTACTTTTTGCGGTTATTTGAATTCTAAGCTTATCTTGGTTATTTTTACGTTCGCGCTATATAATGTCGGCTTGACATTCAGGAAACTTTTTTACACACTAACGTCTCTAATAACACGATTTTGACAAACTTTCAAACTGTTCAAACTAAACACTGTCACTTTAAAGTATGTAATACTAGCAGACCCGCCCAACTTCGTCTGCATAACACTTTACATTTATCATTATATTTCGCCCAATTTACATAATATCCGTTTAAGTTGTAGCCTATGTGTTATTCTGTCGTTACGTTACAAGCTACGTTACTGGAAAGTTTCATCAAAATCCGTTGAGTAGTTTTTACGTGACATAACAACAAAACAAACATCCGTCCATTCATACCCACAAATATTTGCGATTATAATATACGCGGTTTTTGTGAAATCTGTTTTTTGAAAGGGAAACGAGCTGATGGCCCATGTGTTAAGAAGCTGTTACCGTGGCATACAGACAGAAACAGCAGTATCACGTTAACATGCGACACTTATAAGATCACACAGGCGTTGCCATTTACTAAGACTAAGATGTCATGCTCCTTATCCAGTAATTTTAGTAACTGTCGTCGGTTTTACAATACAATACTTCAATCTTTCAAACATATTTGCTACAAAGCTACAAGTAAAGCAATACAGCGGATGGATAAAGAAATCCTTGATGTGTAAGATAAAAAAATACTATACATAGCATTTTTTTATCGTAACCAATGCCAACTGTGTTTTTGTAAACATGCACATACTTTTATATGAAATATAAAGAAGCATTATAAGAAAAACAAATGCAGATAGCAACTTGGGATACATTAAAATCTACCAAAGACTTTATGACGCAGGAAAAGAGAAAATAATTTCCGTTTATTTTGTACTTTAGTAATATGAGCATAAGTTTATAATATACAGATGTATTCGTATTGCGGTCTCAACACAGAAGTTAATCATTTATTTATTTATATTGTAGATTTAAAAAAACTATGTATATCAATTTATATTTCTGTCTCCACTAAAGGAAACACTGACATAAATCCAAAATTAAACAAGAGCCGGTAATATACTCGGTCCCTGCCACTTTGAATTCAACAAAATGTGGGAATGTCAAGCGTTGCGTATTCACCGTGACATTGACAGTCGATAATGCCTCTGCCTACACCCTCTGGGATTCTAGCGAGATATATGACGTATCAGGAAGAGTATCTCGATCTGTCATTGTAGGTGGGCGTTGAGAATAAAGATGAAGATGTGAAATAATAGACGGTAGAAATGTAAATTAGATTTTACTTGATAGTTATCAATAAGTAATCAATTATAACCAATAATACTATTCTAAAACTAAAAACATTGAACGCGTACAGTTCCCAAGCAGGTGTTGTCTCGGCTGCTGCTCGCAGTTCACTGAGACAACACTTTTCTGTTCATCGCCCGGAATTCGTAGTGCCATCTAGCGGCACTTGCGTTCTATAATAATTGTATTAAGGATGTAATAACCGAATATTGCGCCATATAATATATTTTTGTAGATATGAAGTGGTGAATGATGAAAATCCTACAACAGTAGTCCGCCGCGGACAACCCTTCAACGGCGTGGTGCGGTTCGACAGGTCCTACGATGAGGAAACAGATATAATACAACTCGTGTTCACGCTAGGTACGTTACTTTTATATAAAATAAGCAAATTTTAATTTTCTCTTAATTTTCGCTGGCGGAGCACCAGTGGAAGATGATAAGATGAGCATAAGGTCAGGCCAGTTAGCCCATCGTGACAAATTCACCAAGAATTTATCTGAAATGGTACATTGCTAGAAATAAGATCATCAATCCATATTACTAACAATCCCCTTTAAGCATTAAACTTATTTTAAAAATCTGTATTTTACTTACTTTTATTTTTTAGAGAACAAACCACAAATGGATACTCAGGGATCCATGTTCCTAAGCTCAGACGCGATATCAGACAACAACTCCTGGAGTGCGAAACTAACTCAAGTGCAAGGAGAGGATCTGTCTTTTGAGGTGAGTTAGTAATAATGTGATTTATCATCATTACATACTATTGAATACAAATGTTTGCACCGTGCGAGGAATCAAACCCGCGACCATCGGAATAAAACGGTGTGCTAAACCGCTGACCACCACGGCCGTCAAATTACTTTACTGTACTTTATTTAATTAATTAATTCAGGCTACTAATGGCCTTATTATAAATACCTTATAGACTAATATATATATATATGAAATAATAATGTAAACATATACATAGTAATAGCTGTGCCCGCGGTTTCACTTGCATGAAATTTATAGCCTATATGTTATTCTGATGTATAAGCTGCTATTACTGTAAAGTTTCATCAAAATCCGTACACCAGGAAATAAGCACGACGATTTCAAGGAGGCATCCCATAGTGATTGAATTTACATGGTAGATCAATACCATTGGTTCTGGATTTAACGTATACGAAAAGTTCACTTCAAAAACTGGTGTACATATGTACCTATATAATTTTTCTTCCGGTTAATCATGACATAGGTTAACCTCTGAATTTCACGAAGTTGAGTAGAAAATAGTTCTTTATTTATTGATATTTTCGGGACGAGGTCGCAGCAACAGCGGTTGTTGATAAATATAGTTCACAACTCAAACACATTAATTAAATGGAGATTTTTCACAGTTCAAACACTATTAGCGACAAAAAAATAGAACGTGTTACATTATTGTTATAAAACAATATGTACAATCAATTGACTCTCTCGTATTTATTTATTTTGTAGGTGTATTATAAATATAACTATATATTATAGTTAACTTCTAATAAATAACTTGTTTAGTAGTATTTGGTCTCTAATGTCTTAAATAATCTTTAAGAGAAAATACATATGACGATGTATATACTATAGAAGAGCAGGATGTACCTGACACAGGAATTGCTATGCTTACTTTATTTACTACTCATCCCAACACTGTGTTATTGTATTCAAACTGTTTTTTAAAGTAAACATTATTTCTTACAACATGTAGTATATATGTATGTATATATATATATATATCCCTAATATAAGTATGTATATCTAGTTGTATAATAAATAGTCTTATGCGTGCCACCTACCCTATTCTATGTACATAAGTCCTCTCTTCTAGGTTGTCAGTAAGAGATTACATTTAGCGATAAGACCGCCTTTTGTTATTATTTTACTATTTACTGTATTTACTTATTATTTTATGTGTACACAATAAAGAGTTTTATTGTTATTATTATTATTATTTTCAACTATATAACTTTTTTTTGTTGCTATGACTTGAAATAAATAATTTAAAATATATATCTTGTACAGTATCGTAACGGGATATTTACCAGGACATTATTGTTTAAACATTTCAGATATCTCGATGTTCGTAAAAGCCCCTGTCAGCATCATGACGAATATCCCACTTACATAATGTGTTATACACATAATGAATTTAAAATTTTAATTTAAACGTTTGAACAAATAATCTACCTGTAGTCACTGGATACACATGTAAAATGATAAAGTTGCATAATATTTTTTTAATTAAAATATAAAATTTTTTTACCAGGTATTTACTCCGGTATACGTCCCCATAGGTTCATGGACGCTCCGAGTGGTCACCAGGTTGAGAGACTCTATAGAGCGCCAAATATACGTCTTCGATCAGGATATCTACATTCTGTTCAATCCTTGGAACCCTGGTAAGTTATTTCTCTAATTTATTTATTCAGTATTCATTATTTATTTATTTTATAGCATAATTGATAAAGTGTTGTGTGAATGCATTTTCTTTAACATGTGTTATATTATACAAATGTTGAAAAATTCATTCAAGCTGCTGATATGTGAGACAGAGATTCATGCTGACAACTTTGTTAAAAACTTTTTTTAATTTGAAGTAAATCTTCATAGATTCGACCGGGGTATTGGGGACATATGTATGTGAGATTCATACTCACTTAAAACTCTACGGAGTTTCTCGGTACGCCAATGCGATATCCCACGGGAAGACTTTTGCATTCTATCGCAACTGTTGTAGCGGCGACACGCTCTGTGAAATGTATAGCACTGAATTTCCCTCATTTTTTAATCTTAAAAACCTTAAACCATCTTGGTTAAAAGATGTGTGGAAGGTACGTGGGAACATAAATAACCTTAAAACCTTCTTAAAATTATGTTTAGCAAGTACGCGGGAATATGCACGTATCTTCTCTGAACCTGTTTTACAGAGAGCACTCGCTCATGCGTGGACTCTTTAAAGTTTTGTTTATAGAGATTGTAGGAACTTTGTAAAAGGCAATACTTTAGTAACTAATATTAGTATAATGCTCAATAGGAATCACCAAGAAAAATCTGTTTTACTAATCAACCACTTTCTTTGCAGATGACCAAACATACATGGAAGATTGTAATTTACTGCAGGAATACGTCTTGAACGACGTTGGAAAGGTTTGGGTGGGATCCACGAAGTCAGCAAGCGGAAAGCCCTGGGTCTATGGACAGTTCGATGCATCAGTTCTGCCGGCTTGCATGTTTATATTGGACAGAGCTCAAGTACCATTCTATCAGTTAGTGTACATATTACGTGCAATTAGTTTATTTTCACCAGAGATAGACTGTAAAAAATCGTCTGAGACTGAGGTACTGTGCGTACCTCAGTTACCATAAGACCGTATACTTTTTTTTACCATAAGACAATTTACTTTGGAAGCTGTTTCGGTTATGGGGTTAGGCTGTGAAATAAGAGGCATGTTTTGTCTATGAACTATTTTATCAACATAACAGTGAACTAAAATCTACGAAGATAATTGACTTGAATGAAAATTAAATTTGACACAAAATTTGTAAAATGTATATAACATTTGCCGCGTTTCCCAGATTTGTTTTAACCATAAGATTATAATAACAACAATAATAATTTAAAATTTATTTATTTTCATGTATATAGGCGACGGTTACCGTGTACCATCATCATCGAATATCGAGAATATTCGAAAGGAAGAAAATTCCATGACTGGCAAATGTTTTAAAAGGGTCTAATTTTAATATTAGCAATTTCTTTTCTATTATAACAATGCAACCTCTTTCTTCTTAGGCGTGGAGACCCAATTAAACTGACTCGTGCCATCTCCCGTATTGTGAACTCCAATGATGATGCTGGGGTGCTAGTCGGTCGATGGAGTGGGCAGTACGAAGATGGTACATCGCCGTCCGAGTGGACCGGATCTGTGGATATACTTCAACAATATTTTGAGACGCAGCAAGGAGTAAGATACGGCCAATGTTGGGTATTCTCCAGCGTTGTCACAACAGGTCTGTAACATTAGTTAGAAAACGTCATTTAGGATATTCATACCCGGAGTCTGTTAATTTAGACGGACTCTGTGGTATAGCGATTATCCAACACCGTCTTACTTCCAATGGTAGCAGCGGGTTTAATTTTTCACATACAATCATTTATATATAGTATATGAGTGTGATTATCGTGAGTTCACAAAACTTCGTGTCTCAATTTATATTCTTGACTTTCTGGTAATGGAAAATTGTGCAATCTATTTTATTTTGCCAGTATGTCGTGCTCTGGGCATCCCATGTCGCTCGGTAACCAACTTCGTATCAGCGCACGACGCCAACAATTCCTTGAGTGTTGACAAATATTACACTGAGCATATGGAGGAGTTGGACTTCGATCCTAACAATCCTAGAGGCGCTGACTCCATCTGGAACTATCACGTGTGGAATGATGTCTGGATGGCGAGACCTGATCTCCCAGAAGGTAATGTCTTACTTTTTTATTTCCTGACACATCACATTGCTTAGCGATGACCTGTCTAGACGTAAAGTGGACGAATGGGTAAGCCTTTATACCTTCTTTATCGTTTTGGTATCAATGCCTGCAGTGTTCTGTCTTTGCACATATCCATCTTTCTTTATTCGCTTCTAACTATTTCTCAAGTCCACTAATCTGTAGTGCGCATCTTTTCCGACATACTGGGAAATTTAATAATTTTATTTAATCATTCATCAGCAATAGAAACATGATTCGGATTCATATTCATCTCATTATCTTCCACTACTGCCCCTTTAGCTTGTACCGTTAGAACAGGTAGGTGAACTATTCCATTACCATTCGTCCAAAAAAGTAGCATTGATAAGCGATTGTATATTATGCAAATTCAATATGCTTCTTAAAAATCCAATCAGGATATGGTGGTTGGCAAGCCATTGATGCAACACCACAAGAGACTTCATCAGGATTCTACCAGTGCGGTCCGGCTCCTTTAGAAGCTATAAAGCAAGGAGTCCTGGGTGTGTCACACGACGTGGAGTTTATGTTGTCGTGTGTTAATGCTGATCTGTTGCGCTGGAGAGTTGACCCTTATGCTGAATCTGGGTATTCAGTAGTTGACACTAATGATTATCAGTAAGTATATAATTATGCCCACTTCTTTAAAAGATGACACGGATAAAGTTTAGTTAATTGTGTTATGGTATTACTTTGTAACTAGGTTTGATTGTATTGTAAGTTAAAAACAGGGAAACTGTACACAGTCCGTTCATATTGTGTAATTCTCTAACTCTGTCACAAAATTCTTTCTGAAGACAGACGGTTACATTAGCCATGGAGGATGGTAAGATTGTAATGCCCAAGGAAGTATTATGCGGAAATTGAATTGATATGGTAAATTTGCTAACTATGATGCCATTGGTATTAATAACGAAGAATTCCTTCACCGCTCCAAGTTAGTTAGTTAATGGTGTTACTTATCGTTTATTGTAGTCCATGAAATCATGAAATTATATATTTTGATCATTCGAAGTTTAAGACGTGATTGTAAAGGTCTTTATTAATGTCATAGTAAAATTAAACGTCACGCACCCAAATCTGAGGATAGAAATCTTAATTACCTTGTATATTGTGTATGTGTGTAATATACTTAAGTTATATATTGCTTACAGCGTTGGCCGCATGATCCTGACCAAGAAGCCATTCGTGTTTGATCCCATCGGTGATGAAGACCGCGAAGACATTACCGACCAGTACAAGTACAGAGAGGGCACCGTCTCCGAACGTATCGCCCTCATGAACGGAATACGGTTCTCGGAAAGAGCTAAGAGGTTAGTGAAAGAGCAACCAATACTATACTCAACATGACACAATGACAAAGGACTTATCCTTCGTGTGGAATTAATCCACCATTGTACTCCTTTATTTTCTAAGTCATGTGTTCTTTCATACATGATCTGTACAATAAAGAATTACAAACAAACTAACTCCTCTGATTTATATTTCACCTATTAAGTAAGGGTCACTACAAGATGATTTTGAGCTAAAGCATCGTCATCTATGTAGTTGACACTGTCGATTTTATAAGTATTTTTGTTGAGTTCCCTGAGGGAAAATAAAACATGGTAAGATCCCGTTATTTACTAATTATACTTATAAATAATGACCGCGTCAAAGTTAAAACTGTCGAAATTTTCTTCTTTCGGTCAGGTACGAGTTTAAATTTTAAAGAGTTTAATTATTACTATTAAATTAATGTGAGCTAACAAATGGTTATTTTCAGGTATTACTCGTTGGCTAGCAACCTCGCAAGTGACGTCACATTCAAGCTACGCGAGCTGGACAGCGTACCAATTGGCCAGGACTTCAGTGTCGTTGTTGACATACAAAACAATTCTGATGAGGTAACTACGTAATAAATTATTTCACTCTATGTGGTAAAATCAAAATGTTTACAATGTATCTTTGTAAACATTAAATTTTATTTATCTACCCGGACATGTGAGTCGAAAATTGTGAGTTTGGCTGATATTAAAACATTTGTGTCAATTTTATTTTGACTTTATTTAATTGACTTTACGACTTCACTAGTATTTTCTTTGATTAATGTATTTGGGCTATTGTCATGTGCTTTAGATTTATAGCCCTGCGATCTACTTAGATCTATTGTGATCACCCTTATTCAAAGACCTGTCTGTGAAGGATATTCTTAGGTGTGATGGTTTTTATCTCCTCAGGATAGACTGCGTATTCGGCAGTAAGTTTCCCGTTTGTTACACTGGATTTCAATAAGCTTATGAACAGGAAGGCATCTGAAGTGTTGTTATTGTCTCTATCTACCCACTCTGAGATTACAGTGCTGATTATAGGTTCCCCGGACAGACGATATTAAATCATTATCATAATTATCATATTGATGTACCCATACATTGTATTGTACTTATATTTAATATTTTTCTCAGGAACGCAACATAAAGGTATCTCTATCCGCCTTCAGTGTGTTCTACAATGGTGTCAGAGCTGATGTCGTTAAGAAAGTTGAAGGGAGGATCTTCATAGCACCAAATACGAGTAAGTATCTATTTCTTTTAATATTCGTATATATAATAACATTTTTTACAATTTTTGTCGGTCGGTCTGTTTGTTAGAGAGAAGTATGAAAGTGGCACCGGTGTCAGAGAGGTTGAAGAGTAATCGTCTATCATGGTATGGACATGTAATGCGTAGGAACGAGGATAATATTTTAAGAAAGGTGTTACATATGAATGTGGATGGTTATAAGGACAGAGGAAGGCCGAAAAAGAGATGGATGGACTCTGTGAAAGATGATATGGTAAGAAAGGAAGTAAAAAACGCGATGACTGCGAACAGGGATGAATGGAAGCGAAAAACATATTACGCCGACCCCAAATAAATGGGATAAGGAAGAAGCAGATGATGATGATGATGGTCTGTTTGTTCCGGCTAATCTCTGAAATGGCTGGACCGATTTTGACGGGACTTTTTTGGCAGGTAGCTGATGTAATAACTTGAGCTACTTTTATTTTAGGAAAATAAATTTATATTCCACGCGGACGAAGTCGCGGGTTCAGCTAGTATTATAATATAGATACTATTGTCTTAAAGCTAACAATTATAAATTCCAGGTGAAGAAATAAGCATACAAGTAACAGCGAGTGAGTATTTACCGAAGTTAGTGGAGTACTGCAACATGAAGATATCGGCGATGGTGATAGTTGAAGAGACCAAGCAGTCCTGGGCAGATAATGATGACTTCCACATAATCAGACCCAACATTAATATTCAGGTACATTTTATATCTTTACATAGTATATTTGAATTTGAATTTTGAATTTTATAAAATGAAGTCGCTTACGCTCTGTATCAGTATTTATCTTTTGAACTACGCAACGATTTTAATACCGTTTTCGGCATAGTGATGATAGAGTGATTCAAAACGAAGGTCTTGTATTATCTATACATATAAATAAAATTGGAGTGTCTGGTTGTAATATTGAAATAACCGTTTCTTACTACATGCATATGTATAAAAATAAATACGGTACATATAACAAAATAACATGTTTTACAATTTTTGTCTGTTTGTTTCGGCTAATCTTTGAAATGGCTGGACCGATTTTGATAGGATAGGTGTTTTCTATGTATAATATGTACGTATTTACGAAAGAAAATCTATGCATTTGTCTAAGTTACCTAGCACCCATAACACAAGTTTTAGCTAGCTTAACTTGGGACTAGGGGGCGCTGTGCGTTACTGTCCTAAGAGGTACAGCATAGTAGGTATTTCCGTTTAATGAAGGTCTGATGCTTGGGAAACCAAACACTGCGGTGCTCTCATTCGTCGATCTATTAGAGATACCCCTCAACTGGCGAGTGAAGCTTCGGGTTTGACGGGTCATACCCGAACATGCTCTTGTTGGCCATCATAGTGATAGTAAAGCATGAGTATAGGATTACAATAGATTACATTAACATCTCCGATCTATGCCCCGTCCAATTCAAACGGGGATTGAAATTACGACGGCCTAAGCCGAGGTTCGAACTCCTAGCGACTCGGACTAAGTCGTATCCGTAAGAAGGGAGTAGGCCTCCAGCCGCTTCGTAAGTCCTTCCGCGGAGTTTCATCTGCGCTCGCCCGGTGAAGCTGTAAAGGCCAGCTGCGGCTAACAGCATTAGAGTAGTCCGAAAAAAAAATTCATTATTACTTATTTCAGTTCAATGAAGACTTGATGTTCTGGCAACCAGCCACTGCGGTGCTGTCATTCGACAATCCATTGGAGTTCACTCTGACCGGTTGTGAGTGCAGGCTGGCATCTTCAGGTATATCAGGCCGCACTCTTCGCCTTCCTGTTGGAGATGTCGACCCTCAGGGTCAGTTCGCTGTTGAAATACCCATCCAGCCTAGCGTAAGTAACCCTTTTAAATAATAATACCCTAGGATAACTCATACAGAGCCATCTAGTGTCTAGCTAAGCAGAGTTTCTATTATGTGTACTAGACAACTGATATACTTACATTTCTGTAAATACACACTCTGACAATTACAAACAATCATACTCATGAATAGAAATGTTTTCATCGTATAAGAAACCGTATTTACGACCGTCGGAAGCAAAACGGTGTCATACCGAAACTGCTAGACCACTGAGGCAAAATTTCTTCAAAATATTGAATGAAAGTAATATTAATTATAAATATTATTGTCAGTGTTGTGACCTAGTTCTTTGTTTTTTAATTATACTCTTTATTGCAGTGGGAAGGAGATTGTTAGTAATAGGGTCTAGTCTCTATTGCTAGTAATATATTACTAGGAATTAGGTCGACCTCCATGCGGTTCCCCCTGGAAACCATCGTGGTTAATTCCTGGTAATTTCATCACGATGGGCAAACTGACCTGACCTCATATCTTATCATCCTCCATTGCTGCCGCGTCAGCGAAAATCGTTAAAGCAGGCGGACATTCCATTAGCATATATTTAAAATAAAACTAATATATATTTAAAATAAAACTGTAGTAAATAGTAAATTTATGTTACCTAAGTTTACTACTCGGACTTAAAAAGGAAGGTCGCCAAATTATTATAGCAATTTATAATTTTGACTGACTCCACCACTGCATTATGGTTTCCATGGGGGACAGAGTGGAGTTCAACCTGATGCATTGCTGCTTGTACTCATAATACCCTCCATTTTAATGGTAATTTTCTAGAAGTTGTAATCCCTATCATTAATTGAACATAAATTTCCACAGAGACTGGGTAATGTTAACTTCGTGGCGACATTCACATCGGCTGAACTAAAGGATGTACATGGCGCCGCTAGCGTGGAGGTGTATGATGGATAAAACGCTTTACTTTTTATGTTTAATACAAGAAGACCCAAAATCAATTCATTTAATAATGCAATTTATTTTGTATGCAGTCAATTTGATCGAACAAACAAAATACAATAAAGATTAATTAATTTGGATATCATTTGATATTATATTTAATTATGTATGTGTAAGTGTTGCCATTTCAAGATACTCAAAACTATATTTAAATAATAAAATAAAATGGAATGGCATGGCAACGAATATTTTACTATTTAAAAAAACAAGGGAAGGCAAAAGACTGGACACAGTTTTCGTTTTCCTGGAGAAATAGCCCCGGATTCTTCTAGTATTGATTTGAAGAATCCTGGGTTCGTTTGCTCCATTTGTACCGTAGGGTGCATAGATATCTTCTGCGTAAGCGCAATACATGCTAGGTCTCGCCATCATTTCCCATCAGGTAACACCAAACGCAAACCCATACACAATAAAAAAAGAGAAATATTCTGTAGAACTAGGGTTGCCATCTCGAAAAATTGGTAACCAAAACAAGACCCGTGAAAACACTAGATTTTAAAGTCACGAGACACCGTCGAGAACCCGGACATGTCAACAGGTTATTTTTAGACATAATCAGTGTGATAAAAAATAATTAAGAATGTCATAAATCATTTATTTAAATGTGCCTAACAAAACAGAATCTTATTACAGTTTGCTACATTGTCTTAATAATCAGTTAGATTGTTTTTGTTCTTAAAACAAAACGCAAATTACATTACCCCGGACGCTCCCCGGATGCCCTTTAAACTAGGACAAATCCGCTACCTACCTATAAGAACCGTGTTTTAATATTATTGTCGCCCATTGGTTCATATAATGACATAGAATTAAACAGTCAAAAAGTAAAATTTTAAGTTTAAGTGCTTGCTATTATCACAGATTATCTATTATATTCTATTGAACCAGATTAGTGCTGTACTCCCATTGTCTATGTAGATATAAATTAATGATAATTATTTTACTTTACAATGTATATTTTTACATTCAAACGTGTATTAAAGTTCTATTTTATATTACATGATGGTATTTATAATTGTTTACTAGCTGTGCCCGCGGTTACACGTGAAATTTATAACCTATGTTATTCTGAGTTTCATCGAAATCCGTTTAATAGTTTCTATGTGAAAGAGTAATAAACATCCATCATCCATACTCACAAACTTTCACATTTATCATATTAGTAAGATAATTTTGTAAATAGATCATGCAATTTATGTAACGTATAATAATGCGAACTTGCCGTGATTAAAAATATGACCTAGTGAATGTTACTGCCAGAATTCGACTCTAAAGGTCGTGAGTTCAAATTTGGTCGATACCAAACAAACTTTATATGAATTCATACTCTACTTTCTGGTGAAAAATCAAATTAACACCAGAGGCGACATATAGTCGTATATATATCGTGAAACGTCAAGTGTTCTATTCAACTTAACGCCAGTAGTTCTGACAACCACATGCGAGACAACAGTCATGATGGTAAATTACTTTCGCTACTTTCTTCACTAGATATAAACATTTTTTTTAATAAAATAAAAAAAATAAAGTTAAATAAAAGTAGCCGAAGCTACTCTTTATAACATTAGACAAACACAGATAGACAGATATAAAAAATTTAATTAACTATTTCATGTATGTACCGTATATACTTACATATACATCTAGTGAAAAGCTGTTAATTTGAAATTACAAACAGACATTTCATATTATTTATTTGTATAGATAAATGAAACAAAACATAAAAACAAAATTTTATAATATCAATTCCATGCAATGTTCACCCATTTTCACTTACAACAACCACATATTTTGTCCTAAAACACCAGTAAATAGATTGTAACTAGACACGTCTATTTTTCATGTACATAGGTAGTAGGTAACACTTTTGTACGCAACATTATTTCATTTTAATGTAAAAATCAGGTTTGCCAGGTATCCCACATTAGGTGAACAGGAGCCGTCGTAAAGCGGGTAATATTGCTCGAAAGTCGTCCCAATTTTTGAGCAAAATAATATTATCCGCTTTTCGAAAGCTTTTTTTTGGTCGCATATTTTTAGATTTTTATTTTTACTCATAAGGTTGATGCACTGCACCCGGCACTGCTAACAAATATACTGGCAACTCTGATAATAAAGTATAATTACAACGGTGTTTACTACTACATGCCAAAATAAATTAAATCAGTTTTAAACGTACTTCTTTGTTTAATACTATTATTTCTTGCTTGCAACAAAGAATATAACACTGATTTCAAATAAATGTACTTATAATTGACTGCATTTTATTTAAAAAAAATACGCAAAATATTCAATCGTGCCATTGTCTAGAATCGATCTAGACACACTTATAATATAAACCTTTGACTGAGACCGAAACCATAAACCGTATAATTGAATTAACTTATTTAATTTAATTAATTCATTCATAAAAATTAACGAAAATAACATACGTGGTAAGGGCACTTCCATTAATTATATCAGGCTATTTTACCGGATTCCACAACCCTTTCCCTCCTTTGTACTTGACATGTAAGATTTGGCACGGCTGTCTGTCGCTTTCCTTAATCCCACTTAATTTTCCATACGTTAGTCTGTACTTGATTTTGTTGGATTCATAAAAAAAAACTAAATTATTTCAAGACTATAATATCACTTAAGACTACTAAGAACTTATTTAATCTTTCAAATACAAAATTGTAGTCATGGAGGACATGATGCCTAATGGCATTATCTACCTTAACTCAGTGCTATTTGTATTCGCATAAACATCATAATGTTATGCTGTAAGATTCAGCCATATTCTAGTGAAGAAATATGGTAATATTAAATTTTACTATTTCTTAAGGATCAAAATCGTATTTTGTATATAATAATATTATATATAAAATACGATTTTACGTACGTACGTTACGTACGTAATATTTACCCCCCCCCCCTTTTTTTTGGGAATTATTGAGGGGATTCTGCTCAGAAAACCCCATTCTACATCTCTCTAAACGCCTAACATAATTAATGAATACCCCTAAGGTAAAACATGATATATTATTCATTTGACTATCACAAAATTGGGCTGTATTTCCATTTTATGGAACTGGGCCTTAACCTTTATTAAAAAAAAAACTAGTTTGCTATTGTAAATTGCGAAGCGTACAAATTAAATTATGACTTCTTGCTTGGTTGTATGAATTTAATAAAGTTTCACACAATAAATGGAAATACAACGGTATAAAATCTTGTCCATTTTGGTTTATTTCTCAATGATTGCTCAGTTAAACCATTATCCTGAAAGCACAAACGTGTTTTCGCAGATACAGCATATTGTTTAAAAGATTATACTGATTACATGATATATAAGTATGTTAAATTAATATTAATCTTTAAAAACATATCTAATATATAAAATTCTCGTGTCACAATGTTTATACCAAAATTTATCCGAAAACGCTTGACCTATCCTTATGAATATAATCAGTAGTTCGTAAACTATTTTTCATACGTCTAAGTGATTGGTCCACCTATTTTTTTTATTTATTGACAGTAATAGTTTATTGTAATATTAAAAAATACGTACAACCCTAATTTTCACCCTTCTACCATCAACCCCTATTTTGAATAGTGATATAACATTGTAAGGGAGCTATCATAGAGAAAACAACAAAATGGACAAGTCACTCTGTTTATTACTACATTTAACATGATAAAATCTAAATTCAAGGAACTTCAATACAGAACTATGATATATATATATAAACTTTGTAGTTACACGAAATAATTATACATATACAAAAGCTTTTTTTATATTCACGGAAAAGTAGATATACCACTGTACAAGCATATATAAAAAACATTACATGAAATTTATCAGTGCTGGAAATATAATTAAAGTGAAATAACATGACAAAACATATATTATACAATATTCAAAAAGCAAATATATATATCAATGATATAATACAATACATATATATGACTACATATCTAATTATGACCACTATATACTATATTTGATTTACTGATCAAAAGTGAACCAAACTGAGCAAATAAGCGGCTGATGGCCTACTCCTGCCTGACGGATACGACTTTAGTCTGAGAGCACCGCTAGGGGTTCGAACGTCTCAGTCCGTCGTAATTTCGATCCCCGTTTGAATTTATTGATCGGAGAGGAATCTTCCGTATTTAGATTATTTTTTTAGAATCTCATGTACAGAAAATAAGAAAAAAAAAATCATTAACTTTCACAATGCATGTACACAGTACAAAATATTAAACAGTAGTTTTCAATTTTAAAGTATTTTAGTCTTTATATAAACAAACTGTAATTACCACCTTAATTTTAATAATAATACTTAAAAACGAGACGTTTTTCATAAGAAATATATTAATTTCACAATAAATTAACTCATATTGTATTGCTTGGTTTTATTATGTAATTCAATTACAATGATAATGTTTTATAAACATTTTAGACTGATTAAGTCTAACATGATGTTGCACAGTTATAGGTGACATTCAAAATAAATTTATCTCTAAAATTCACTAATCAATTTAGAAAAGTACTCTAAAATGTGAAAGAAATTTAGTTATATTTTCATTTTATTTAGGTTTAATTAATTTTACAGAATTAATACAAAAATTGTGCACCAAATATAATCCATTTCAAATTAATGTTGCAAGTAAAAATTTACTGAAATATTTAGACTCATCATTCAAGTTGTTAAACTGAGCAAAAACTTAACCAAGTATAAATTAATAAATGCCACACACTTTATTTTCTGAATGTAAAAAGAGGCTAAATGCCTAATATGACAGAACGAGACAGAAATATCTTGATTTTTAACTTTCTCTTGCCTCGCATCTACGGCGAAAAAATATAAGAAAATATTTGTTTCATTTAGCCTGCGATTGGGTAATATAATGAGAAATTACAAACACATGTTTCCTTTGTTCATATGTTCTTTTAAATAAATGTTTTAACTCGTTATTCTTCTGCCATTGTTCAGTTTATCTTAAAATTATGACTTGATGTTACAATATGAACGTGTCTGTATATTTTCAATTTTACTAACAATTTAAGATATATTTTTTAAATATTATTTATGAACAAATAAAATACTTGACATAACTTATATACATGACTGATTAATCTTTAAATGATCAAACCAAAATAAGATTTTGATATATTTTAAATAAGGTTCATTTTGCATTTAGCACACTCAGTAAAAAACTGCATTAAATAATAATTTCAAGGTAGAAAACCAACTTGACTGTTGGAGCTTAACCTCCAAAACGCTTTTGAAGTGAAACTTCTATATAGACGGGTTGGATTAGGATTTTTCGGTCACGAAAAAGAGTTACGAGAGAAAGAGAAAGACTGGTGGAGGTGGGTAACCGTTGAAGTTTCACTTCTATTATGTATCCCAAAACACATTTTAATTTAATGCAGTCTGTTAATAAGCGTGTAATTTATTAAAATTAATAAACACGCACAGGTAAGTCATAAAGTGATATACCATTTTAAATTAAAAATTTAAGAGTCTGTTCCACAATGTTACACTAGTTCATATATAAATTACTCTTGAGATAAAATTCTTTGTGAAACAACAACTACAAGTTTATACAACAGTTCCATTCGAGGTAGTTTAATCAGTTTAATCGATTGTGAAACAGGCCTTAATTTAATATATTTTTGCATTTCATCTACTTAAGTGGTTTAATTAAGATCGTTCATAACTGAAGTTTGCAATTACTCCACTATCTGCCATTTCAAGAATAATATTCAATATTTCCGAGTTATTATTTAACAGGTGGTATTTTAGCGTAGTAGGACATTTTTCATGGAATGTCGCCATGACGCGCTAAAGAACCTACCTTCAGTCTCATCCTATCATCCTCCATTGGTGCTGATTCGGCGTATACATTAGTCCAAACTACGCACTAGAAAACACCTGACAATTAACCAACTAAAATAATACCGAAAATTTCTGGTAATATCACCAGAAATTTTGGGTAATATTTTTTTTATAGCGCAAACACAAACGAGCTAGTGGCACACTTGATGGTAAGTGACTACCGCCGCCCATAAGCACCTGCAACACCAGGGGAACTGCAAGTGCATTGCCGGCTTTTAGAAAGGACTAAACTTTTTTCTATTGAAGGTAATATGGTATCGGTTCGGAAATACCATTGCTAGAGGATGATTCCACAATGGGGTTATTAGTTGGAATAAGTTTCTAGAAAATATTGACAAATTATACCAACATTGCAATACTTCGGCGACGAACGTTCTTAGTATATATACTATTAGACATAGCAAAATTACTCTTATAATTATGAACATAAAGTCTAATTCACACAGCCGGTATGTAGGACTAATTAATTTTTTCTTTTCCAGTCACTATCCGAGCGTACTCTTCGTAGAAACGCGGGAAAAGTTGTATCGCAAAATATACGACTGTGAGGTACGCCACTATACCCAACGTGAGGATTAAGTCGAACACCGCCGGTTTTACACTACAACAGTAAAAATGTTATTAATAAAAAAAATTGCATAATTGGGGTTAACCCAGTATGTCATCTTCTACTAGACTAACATGCATAAAGTTAACTACCATGTCAGCTCCATACAGATATATAATAAAATTCAGCTGGTAATTAGGGATATGCTATTAAATAGTTTCAAATCTTATAATAAACGGTGAATGACCGTAGATTAAAAGAAGAATAACTGACTATTCAAAAAAGACTGTTAAATATGGTGATAATTATTAATAGTTATTATTCTACTGCTCACAAAGAATCTTACAATGTAAATAAATTATATTTAAACTTACAAGTCATTCCTTGTAAGAGTCTGGAGTCTGAACTAAATCGAAACCGGGACCTTATAGTACTATGTAATATGTCTTTAAAAATATTAGTAATATAAATGATGTATTATAAAAACTATTGGAACAGAGCATACATATGTAATGACGTCATCATAAACATACCTGTATACATATAACTGCGCTGTGGTCGGGCCGTACAACGTGTACTCTGGTTCCCGCTTATCAACCGCGTGTGAGCTCACAGTGACCTCCATGTATCTGGACAAAGTCCTCTCCAACGCACCCGTCACACCTGAAAAAGAAATAACATTTATTCAAATAAATTTAATATAAGCACAATTCGACCGTATACAAATTAACCACATAGAGGTATTCTGAGTTCGTAATATTTATGGTAATTCCTCAGTTTATTAGTTCGTAATATTTATGTTCTTAGTGCATGGTCCTCAGAGAGCCAAATCTGTTAGGAGTCCCTTTACGCTACATAAACACTCTCCTTCACCGCTGCAGCTTAAAATAAATTTGTACATAGACGTCTGTGTGGAAATATAAATAATTCTCTATTTTTATAACGGTTTCGAATTTGTAACCCGTTAGAAACTTTTTACAACAATGAAATAAATAAAACCGTTAATAATAAAAATAAAAGATTAAACTTACCAGTATTTGGTGGTAGTGTGGTGACTATTTGAGGTGCCCTAGATTGTGACGACAAATATTTGTACCAATGTTTGATCGCCCCTTCGTCTACACCCTAAAAAAATATTTTTACTGATGTTATATATGCAATATTATACATATACATATATATACTGTTTTGAATTATTGAAAAATACAAGTAAAATTAAATTAGAGGTTTAAAAACCTCTATCTTCGTCTAAAAAATAAGTTGATGGTCTTGAAACCTCTGAATCAATTGTTAGAAAGTATAGCTAATGGTCTTTGACTCAAGGAAGTATAAGAAGATTGATAAATTGCATTACAAAAACAAACCATCACATGAAAATAGCCCATAAAGAAAGCTATAACATGACGAGTTATTTTTATTATTACTGCAATCAGATGATAGAGAAACTAATGACCTTTTTATAAGGCAGCCTGTTCCGCAATAGTAGTTCCTCCTATCGACGCAAAATCTCCCAAAATTGGTGGAAAATATAGCATATATAGGGGTTTTCCACCAATTTTGGGAGATTTTGTGAACACTAAATACACGTGTTACTAAAAACTGGTTTATTCCGGTTTTAGTTACTGTATTACACTACTACAAAGAAAAGTTATTAAACCTGTAAATTTTAATTTGAACATACCAACAATTCATCATACAAGATGGCGTCTTCATTATTAACCTCGTCAGTCAGATTGTACACGTGGGAAGCGAGAGCTCGCGCCAACACTCCTATGTTCCTCACCAGATTCGACTCCGACAGATCTGATGGTGTATCCAGGAGAGAACCTCTTGATGGCTCTTTATGACTCTGTAATTTTTTTTATATAAATGGTCAGACCAAAGCTTTACCTTCATAAAGGACTACTGGACGGAGAAAATGGTGTACATGGGCTATCGTGGCAGATTGCTATAGTGAGTGTGAGGCATTATCAGGCATTGAATAGAGTTTGGATATAGCTTGGAAGCCTAGTGTTGACTGTTCAGTGACCAATCCATTTTTTTCATTGCCATTAGAGAAGGTCGTAATATTAGTCATGTTTCTACACTGAGTATTTGTGATCTCACACATGCTAATTGTAGCGGAATTAAACAAAATAATATAAATCGATTAAATAGTAAGAGTCACATTCAAATGCACAGCACTGCATTTGCATATATTTATCATTATGTATATATAGCGCTGCATAAAAGCTTAATTTACCTGTAAAGCGCTTAATGTAAACGCTGTCATCCTTCTAATACTGAATCTCTCGTGCTGCCAAGCGAGTGTCTCATCTGCTAAATTGATCTTTTTATGATTGATGGGAGCTCCTAGCCTGGACTTGATGGAGTGTGCCGCGCCGCCCGGCTTCGGAGGCTTCGATACGTGCATGGTAAGTGATGGGGCCGCCGATATGGAATCCAGGCACATCACGAAGGAGACATCCTAATTAAAAAACAATATTTCTCTTTTCAGCATTATGAGCATCAGTAGAAATGGGATTGTTAGTAATGTGGACAGATGACCCCATTGCTATCAATGTGCCATGTTTCGTAGACGTCCACGCAGTTCCCCCTAGAAACCATTGTGATAAATTCCTGATGAATTTACCACGATGGGCTACCTGACCTCATGCTCATCTTATGCTCCTCCATTGGTGCCCCGCCTGCGTAAATCGTCAGCACATACTTCCATTTTCATTAAAAAAAAAGTGCAACCAAGTCGAAATGTCGAGAGAGGTAAATACTTTCAAATATCCTACAATTATTCGTGTTAAAAGCCCTTTAACTATAACAATAATATAATTGACAAAATTACCTGCAATAATGAAGCGTCAGTGGAATCCAGCTGTTCCTCTAACCACTTCTTCGCAGCGAAGTAGTTAAGGGAGTGTCCAGCGGAAGTGAGAACAAAGAGCAGCGTGGGTGCACCGCGGCCCGCAGCTGTTGAGTACAACCGCGAGAATATACGGGCCAACTCCAGAACCGCTACTGTACCTGACGCGTTAGAGTCCGCGCCTTGAGATAACTCCTAGAAGCATAAAATAATACCATAACTACTACAAATAATACATTGTATTGAAATCTGTACTAATATTACATCATACAAGGCTTTTCTTGTACAATAATTTTGTTTGTCTATCTGTATGTTTGTTCTTGTCTCTCGGACAATCTCTGAAACGGCTGAACCGATTTTAACAGGACTTTCCCTTGGAGATAGTTATTGTTATAGAGAAAAAATTTGGTTATTTTTATTGTAGGCATTTAATTTAGTTTAATTTTAAAAAGTTAAATTCTCTCCGCGCTTTCCTCCAACTGTTAGTCTAGACCAGTGGTCAGCAAGAAGTTTTAGGTTGGGGTCCGAATAGTGTGAGGATTCACAATTTTAACGAGGTCCAGAAAAAAACAACTGATATGATTACTAATTGTTTAAAAATTAAATACTGAATTATAAAACACAAGACTTTAAATTAATATGAGAAACTACACGGTCTTGAGCTAGTTCCCTATAGTTTGGTACTCAAGAGGAACAGCAGAAATTAGAAGTGTCTTCTAAGCGGGAGTACGTTAATCTCGAACGATATTTATTTCGTAAAAAAACATCTTTGAGAAAGATGATCACATATTCGGCGGTCCGAGGTTCGACATGTTGTGGTCCGCCTGTTGTTGAACGGGAGAGTCTAAACTAATAATATAAAGAGGTAAAGGTTGCAAGTTCAAATTTTCAGGTAACACTTGGTATGAATAATCCGATTTTAAAAACTCTTTCAATATACTCATTTATCTAGTAAGTCTATAGACTATGTAACTACGAGCTATGACCCATAGGAGCATAGCTGCAATAAACAACGTTGCAAAAACGGAGAATATGTCATGCAGATAAAGTTTTGTGGGTCAGAAGTCTGTATTAAATAAGTAAATACTAACAGGAACAACACCAGCTGAGTCGTAATGTGCAGCAATGACGATAGTCTGCGCAGAGCCCGAGCGACCCACCAGCTTGCCGTGCAGGGTCACTGGCTTCGAATCCAACTTCGCAGGCGTCGATGCTGACACCACTGCAAAACAATTTGTTAAAACAAAATTACAAAAGTTAATAATAATATAACAATTTTAATAACCCTGACAATTCACAACGCCATTTAATCCCAATCTAAGCAGAGCTTCCATTATGGATATTAAACAACTGCTATAAATACATTAGATACATTTCTTTTGTACATACATACATGATATGTATAGTAAATAGCCAGACCGATACAAACAATCATGAATACAAATGTTTGTACAATGAGAGGAATCAAACCTGCGACCATCGGAAGGAAGGCAAGGTGCTAAACCGTTAGACCACAGAGACGTCAAATAATAATAATAAATTCTTTATTGTACACAGAATATATAATAAATATATATATATATACAAATATAAATATATATATAAATACATAATATCTGTCTAAATATATAACTATTTGTATACAATAAGCAAACATGTATTATACATATTGAAAAGTATTAGATAAAAAATATGAGCTATAGAGAGTCAGTGGTCACAATGAGGAACCTGACCTGGCTTCATGCTCATTCTATCATCCCCACTGATGCCCCGTCAGTGTATATCATTAGCGCAAATGTTAAATGGAGGCAGTATTACATATATATATATATGTATTATTAAATATGTATTTTAGTCTATAAGGTATTTATAATATGCCTATATCCATTGGTAGCCTGAGATAAATAATTTTAAAATAAATTGATATTAAAGATACAGGTTATATAAATTGTAAACAACATTGCTTACCTATTTGGTAACCATTAGAGGAGACACTGTTGAACATAGCTTCAAGTGCTGTTCCTGATTTATCATCAGTTATAAAACTATGTTGCAAGTCCTTCAGAATATCTTCAAAGTCAGGACTCCACTCAGCAAAGTACACTGGAGCATTGACCTCATTTTGAATCATTGCCATCTCAAGAAGTTGAATATGCTGAAAATAAATAACAAGTAGATTAATGTATTTAATAATAATAATATAATTATTTATTTTTTATAGAACTCCATTCCATATCTGAATGGGCATCATGATTATACAGCCCATATCGCTAAGTAAGCATGTTAAGTAAGTTTCATGTTGTAAGTCACTTATAATGGATATTTCCACTGGTAATATTAATGTAGACAAATAATATCACCCATGCTCACATTTTTGTATACCTATCTTAATTATTTAATGTTACAAGATACAAAATATCCTTGAAAATATAACAAAAATATAGTTCTAAAATATGTAGAAAGGAAAAATTATGTACATAGGAAACTGAACCATGGACCCAGAGGTAAGCTGTAAAAAGTAGTCTGCATGCATGCAATGCAGTCTCACCTATTTCAGTTATCAAAAACTTGCTTTGTAAGCAGTTTTTCGTAGTTAGTATATAGTAGTTGTATGGTTAAATATATGAGTGAAATTACAGAATAAGAAGTGTGACACCTTAGTGCATGGCAATGTATGAGTTGCATTATAGGTGACACTTGATAATGTGGGGTCCACAATTAAGTGATGTCAAAAGTTACCATACTGCTGTTAATTGCTGCTAATGTATCATGTTAAAGTAACCTTGGAAACCATAGTAATTAATTCTTGATTAGGCAGATTGTCATCCTGTTTGCCCTAAAATGTGTACTATTAGTGCAGGCACCTGTATACATCAGTATTTTTTTATTTGAGTTACATTAAAAAAAATCATATGAATTTTACCTCTTTGTCTTCAGGTGACAACAAAGTGTTATTTTTTGGTAGCACCAGAAGTAATGCACCTGCTTTGCTCCTGATCTCCATAAATTGTTCAATGGAAATGTCTTCCACTCGCGCCACTACACAGTGCCGAGATGTACTCCAAGAAGTTAGAGATCTGCCTTCTAAGTTAAAGCTGGCGCTGCGACACCCTATTCAAATTAACAGATATTAACTTTCTTATTAAAGAAAAGCTTGCTACATACATAACATATATGTGTAATAGGTGATAGACACATAGAGACATGTAGAATAGATTAAACAGAGTTTGAAGCACTGCAATCTCAGATATAAATTTTGCTCTCTGTGTAATGATACCACTTGAATGATCGAGACCAAAATTTCATTGAAGGTCGACCTTTGGGAGTTCTCGTGTGGATACCAATGGCCACCAAACACACAAATCCTCTGAACAGAAGCTTCTCTCTCAGAAAAATAAAAATTTGGTAAATAGTATCCCACATCTTATGTAGTGGAACTTAGTATTAAATAGTTGAGCATCAAAAGGAGATAATGAAAAGGTGCAGTATCAAATTGCTTTAACTGTTTATGTTATTACACAGCTAGTACAATAATTGGTTTAACATAAAATTACAAATTTTGCAAAATCCATTCCAAAGTTGAAAGTAGTTTATTTTAAAACATAATATATCTGATTGAATTCTGTATTGTAGTAGGTGTGTGATATGACGATATATCTATGAACATAAGTGTTAAATTATTATTAGATTTTTGATTGGACATTACATTAATAAGTAAGACAGATACACAATTTTCATCCTAAATTTTAACTAGAACTTTAATCAATATTATTTTAAGTGCTAATAAGATAAGATTATAAAAGTAAACACGACTGTTGAAATTCAGATAAGTTTGAACATGAAGATAACCTAAAATTTCATCAATTTCAATTTCTAAGACTCTAAACTTGTAACCTATATAACTATGGTCACTTACCATGAGATACTGTATGTAAGTCGTATTGTTGCATTCTGTATACTGAAAATTCATGGGATGCGGCAACAGGGTTCACTGGGGACATGATGATAAAAATAGGCAGAGCCACGAGCAAATAGTAGGGCAAATAGCCTTTGAAAATTTCGGCAAAGCCATCAGCCTCGTCTAACCACATATTGGACACTAATTATTCGCAAATACTAAGCAAATTAACACAACAATTTATTTTTTAACACATAATTCAATTAGAAATCTTACGTGTGACTACAAAAGTACATACAGTATCGGTCGGTCAATGACACACATAATGACATTTGACATATGTTTTTTTTTTCTGAACGACTTAACTCTACTCATAGTGAGAGGCTGCAATAAATCGATAAAATTTAAAATCGATTGACTGAAGTATATTAGTAGCAATATCAGTTGATAGACATTTTTAATGAACTCCTAAAACATTATCCATAGATACGATAGGAATAATTATTATTTTGAGGCTTTAAATACGTTATGAAAATAAGTATATTATGTAGGATCGCTGCAGTGCTAATTAAAAAGAAGGATATTAAAAATATAAATAGGAAAGTTTCATAAAATAAAAATTATTTCTATGGTCAATGACAATAGGTTTTATTACTTTTTATAACGTAAGGTGTCGATGAAATACTTCATATTACTATTAATATGAAGTATTTCATCGACACCTTACCGCGCCATCTAGCGTCGAAAAGTAGCACTAATACAAAGTTTTGCCTTAAGTTATTAATTTAAGTACATACAACCTTCCTTTTTAATCATATCTCATTATTAGCTGTTGGATTTTCCAACAGCTCTAAGATTTGGATTAACTAGAGGTCCTGTAAGTCTGGCCATGCTATAACTTCAATTTTTCTTCTCGATCAATTTGACTTGATCGACTAATTGAACTTCATTGTTGAATCTTAAAAAGTTACGGAGTGAATCCATTGTGACGATAGAGAAATAGTTTAAATTCATTCGATGCCAGTAGCCGAGCACAACTACAGTACTTTCCTACGCGAGCCACCCAACGGGAACCAGTAGTAGATTTATCATTGAATAGTTTAATAATTACCTATTGTACATGTTATTATACATACAAATATATATAATGCTATACTTTTGAATCACTCTATCTATTAAAAAAACTGTTTCAAAATCCGTTGCGTAGTTTTAAAGATTTAAACGTACATAGGGACGGACAGACAGCGACAGCGACTTTGTTTTGTACTATGTAATAATAATAATGATAATTCCTATATTCGATTAAAGTGTATAGTTGTTGTTTTTAGTGATTTTACTGATAAGTCAATGTCTATAAAATTTCAAATAAAAAAAATCCACGTAGGTTAACTCGCACGGCGGGAAAACAGAGGTGAAGCAAAGGCATATAGCATATATTTACGTCACAGGAAACAAAATATTATATAAATCTGTGTAACAGTATTTTTCCATTACGGCATATTCTTTTTTATGGATTATAATGGAATGGTGCACCCGCCGGAGCTAACGGTTTACTGGCGCGTCACCAGTGTAGGAGGAGAAGATGAACATGAGGTCAGACCAGTTAACCCATCGTAACAAATTCACCAAGAATTGGTCACGCTTGTTGCCAGGGAACCGGGTGGAGGTCAACGTGACATGTTACACTGCTAGCAATAAGACTATCAGTTCACATTACTCCCCCAACAATCCCCATAAAATTCTCGTGGTACAGTGTTAGTTGGCGTACTTCTCTGAACAGCTTAACCGATTTGATAAAATTTTATAAATATACTCGGCAGGTCTGATTATAGGTTATCTATTTTTTTTTTAAATGTATTTTTTCTTTTCTTGACATTTTTTTTTATTAATAATGTCTACATACAATCTTAAATTTCAAAATTCTGCCTCCAACCTTTTTTTTATTAGTACATTTTTGTAGCTTTGGATGGATATGTAGGATGTATGGATATAATTTTAAATATGAAATCAAGGTTTGCCAGGTTAGATTTAATAATAAATGTATACAGGCTGAATACATTGGACGGAATATTCAATATTGTAAGGCCTACTTGTAAAACTGTAAATAAACGATAAAATTAAGATTTTTACAGCATTATTAATCCCGCCTAAATTAACTAACAATTAACACTGCGCCATCTAGTTCCACTGTAAGCAGAGCTTGTGTTATGGGTACTAGACAACTGATAAAATACTTAGATATATATTTTTATATAAATAGATACATAAAATACATACAAAACACCCAGACAGGTACAAATGTTTGCACCGTGCGCGGAATCGAACCCGCGACCATCGGAAGCAAAACGTAGCACACCGCTAGACGAGAGAGTCAAATCCCGTCAGGCATTATAGATTATTTCATACATACAATTTTGGTTTAATTCTTACAAAACACAGTTCATTGCTCTGTGAATGCATCCATGCAATCCAGTTTGTATAGAATCACTCTCAGTTATAATAGGTACCTTTATTATAAATGTCTAATTATGTACGTTGGAAGATTCCTACATATCTAATCCTCTGAAACTACTTACTAACCTAATTACCTTAGTTTGCTGGAACAAGTTCCCAGCCGGTATGAATTTTTAATGCAATATAGGAAAAGGTGGAAGCGCTACGCCCAAATTACTTGGCTTCTATGATAATTGTCAATGTCTAAATTATTACTTTTCAATTTAATAATGTAGTCATAATGAATGTAAGTATAACCATTAGTATTAATATCTTTTAAAAAGACCTATAGGCATGAATTTTTCGCAATTTATAGTAGTTATAATATACCTTTGACTATTAAATTTAAACAAACAAGACAAAAAAGGTATTATGACATTGTACCTATTTAAAAAATCATTGAGGTATTATGTTCTTTTTATTGCGATAGAGAACGCAGTGTACGATCTACTATACTACTTATTCTATTTAATTGTGGTACTATCGCCGCAATTTGACGACTCATGCTATAAACTGAATTATTATAGTTGATAGAGTTATGTACGCAAATAACCTATTTAATATAGCGATAAAAGTACCTACCCACATAGTGGAATGGCTAACTTTGTTATCTTTGTCTTTGTTTGTATATGATTTATAGATACTTGCGCCTCATTAATAGTTAATAAATAAAACTATTTATATTTATCTAATGTCTTGATACTTGTATTATAATTAGGTATGGGCATGAAGGCATTTAGGAGGACTTGCCTTTTACACAAGTTATTAAGTATAATTAATATGAACGGATGTATAGGGAGAGAGTGGTATAAAAACAATTGCTGAAGCTCAGACATGTCGGCCGATAGGGACTAGTAGAAGGAGATTATTTACTGCGCTGACCACAAATAATGGGATAAGACTTGGAAATAGGCTTTAGGCCCCAAGGCAATGATGGTTATACAGTACTTTTGGTTATTCAATAATAACTCAATACAAGTAGCATATTGTGTGTTAATAAAACAGGTAACTAAACAAAACTCAATCCTGGGTTACAGCCAATTCGGGTTATAGCCTATAACGATCACTACGAATGCGTAAATAGGATTGAGGGCCAAACAGAAGGCGGCGACATTGCCTTAAACGGTCGGTCCTTAAATAAATTAAGGTAAATTATGCATGGAAGTTTATTCATGTTTCAGGACCCTTGCTACTCGATCTACTGAGCTGTTTGCGAGGTGTCGTGACTACATTTCCCGGTTTACGAGGGTTTTTATTCAGAAATAAGGATAATATTTAAAAACCCTTTCCAAAAGACACTGATTCTGAAAAGGTACTCTTGTCTATAGACAACGGTTGCCACTTACCATCAGGTGAAACCAAATTTGTTTTCATATCCATTACATAAAAGAAAATCTATCTGATAAGGGTTCGTGGAAGAAGACAATGTTGCGGCTTCGCCGGTTCAAACTTTGAAACGCTATTTACCCCTTACACATATTTAAAGATTAAAGACCACATCCACCCTTATGATACATCATAATCTATCTATTAAACTTAATTAAGATCTGTTTAATCGTGAAAAGGTAACAAACGAACTGAAAAACCGAAAAGTAAAATGACAATCCCCATAGTAGACGTCAAAACATATATACCCGTAATCCAATTAGTAGTTGTGGATCAATGACGCTATTTATTAACACCAGAACGTGTTAGCTTATTATAATTAGATACAGAAAGTTAGATAAATTAATATAAAAAGATGGAGTAAGCTGTAATAAAGTTGAGGCGGCTGCTCATAGATAAAATTGCGGTTTTAATTCTTGCTTTATCGGCTCCATGGGCATTGCGGTCGTCGGTTGGGTGAAGGAGAAATCGCTTCTAGCTGTATCTATCAAGGAAACTTCGTCGCACGTACACGAATCGAAAACCAAGAGGGATGCGTAGTTTTATAATAGATGGGTTGAGTTTATATAGGAAATTTATTGTGTTTATTCGTAAAACCCATTTTCCTACCTAAAACTGCCAGGCATCTCGCTTAGCAAGTTGAGTTCTGGTTTAAAGGGTGAGATATATTTATAGCAGTGAAATTACAGTACGGGTATAAAATGAGGCACCAGTTACCACTGACGTAACAATGTATAATAAGTTAGTCCCAAGCTAAGTAGAGCTTGTGTTGTATAAATACTTTTTTTTGTAAATACATACATAATATATGTACATAAAAACACCCAGACCAATACAAACAATAATTTTCATGAATGCAAATTTTGTGCCGTGCGAGAAATCGAACCCTTCCGAAGTAAAGCGCTGTGCTAAACCGCTACACCACCGAGGTCGTCATATGTTCACCACCGAGGCAGTGTATATACAAATTTTGCAACGATTTGTGATACATACAACTTATGATTTGAAGGCTACATACATCGTATCAAAACTGGGTGTCCAAAACACGCGGCCTGTTCGGGAGTACGTAGAGGGGGCTGTAGAGGCGGCGGCGGCGGCGCGGCGCAGTGCGGCGCTATCGAGCGGGCGCCGGGCAGCTGGCGCGGGAGGGGGCGGGGCGAGGGGCGCGGGGGAGGCAGGGAGGCACGCGGCAGTGTGCTCGGAGCCCCCGGGAGCGCGGCATGGGTGGCGCGCTGCTGCTGGCGCTGCTGGCGGCGGCGCGGGCCGGCGAGCCCAACGCGACCGACTCGCTCAGCCCCTCGCCCTCCGGCACCGCCGAGCCCGAGGAGAAGCCCGCCCCGCTGTTCCCCGTCGACCTGTTCACGGAGGAGCAGCGGCGGTCGGGCGCGGTGCTGCTTCACGTGCTCGGCATGGGCTACATGTTCGTCGCGCTCGCGATCGTGTGCGACGAGTTCTTCGTGCCGTCGCTGGACGTGATCATAGAGCGGCTGGCCATCCGCGACGACGTGGCCGGCGCCACCTTCATGGCGGCGGGGGGCTCCGCGCCCGAGCTGTTCACCTCCGTCATCGGGGTGTTCGTGTCGTTCGACGACGTGGGCATAGGGACGATCGTTGGCTCCGCCGTGTTCAATATATTGTTCGTGATCGGTGCGTGTGCGCTGTTCTCCCGCACTACACTCACGCTGACGTGGTGGCCGCTGTTCCGAGACTGTACCTTTTACTCCATCAGCCTGTTGGTGCTGATATACTGTTTTCGCGACAGCGAGATCTACTGGCAGGAGGCGCTGGTGCTGTTCTCGTTGTACGGCGCGTACGTGTTGTTCATGAGGTGGAACCAGCCGGTGGAGCGGGCCCTCAAGAAGCTCATCTACAAGAACAAGGTGACCCGCGTCAGAAGTACAGATCAGCTGATGCCAACGGTGAGCTCGCCCGCACAAACTTGCATGCCATGTGTACCCACCTAATGTTTGACGCATATTTGTAACGCGTACTATGTCTTTACTACGCCCCATGTTTTCACTACTTCGCAATAAGAAATCACTGGCGGGAGTTTATTGAGCCGTTGAGTAAACATTAGTCAAAACATGATCAACTAATTTGACAAACGTTTACATAGATTGGTAAAACAAAATTTACTAATGTAGCTGAAGCAAGACAATAGCTATTCATTCTTTTTTAACTATACATATTGCATAAAGTTATAAATCGAGTATAAAATGTTATGGTAGTATTTAAACAAATTTAATAATACAACATAAAAATTTCTTCATCGATCTTTATTTAGGTAGGCTACTATGGCAGACCATTGATCCCTTGTAGTACCTACCAAATCACAGCGATGTAAACTGTAACATGTTTTTAAATATTAAATAAATATTTACATTTATTATGAATTTATTTTGTATTATAAAAGTAATTATACGAAACTTAAATATCGTAATGTATAAACATAATACTGCCCTATAAATGAGAGAATTTAAATAGTTTGGTAGCATTTTTTACTGTATATTTTTATTATATATGTATGCAAAGGTACAAAGATCAAACTGCCTACTCATGTGAAAAAAAATAAAACGGAAGGAAAATTCTTTATTGTTCTCCTTACAGCAAAACTAACGTTTACATGCACTATCATGTAATAAATATATAAACATGAATAAACATACAACAATGAGCAAGAGAAAGAGGCAACAATGGGCAGCCTTATCGCTGAAAAGCGATTCTCCTAATAATTTTATTAATATTAATAATTTTATTATTATTATAAAGCCATGTCTGACATATCATCGTGGGCGCGCTATATAGCAATGACAATCTGAACTTCGAGCTTACAATTGAATTGTCTTGTCAATGAATAGAAACACAATTTTCTATTATAGTAGGTAGCATATAAAATTGAAGTAAAAGAAGCTCTACCATTAACTTGAAAAAAGTAATCAATATTTGTAGATTTAGATTTATTATAGTTGTAATAATTTAGTCAATATACGTAATGAATAAATAATTAATAAAGGACATTTAGGTAATCAGCAAGAATTCAAAGTAATGTGATTATTTACCTATGAATAATAATATTACAACATTTTGGAGTAATTCTTAATTATTTTAACAATAATATAAATTAAATTTATCAATGTATTAATATCTGTTATTATTTACTTCGCTTTAGATCACGTGTTTTTACAAACTTATCAGTACAGGACAGAATACTTTTATAAAGTGAATCTGCAGGGAATAATAACAGATTTTTTTTAATGAGAAATGATTTATAATATGCTGCTTATTCGAAAAGTTATATACATATATACATATACATGAGATTAGGCTGTATGGACTTTGATTTCTTTTCCAATCCTTTACAAAAATATATGTAACAAAAAAAATCGAGTCTGGCTGTATCATGTTTTCCGACGGCTTCTCGCCAATGTTAAAAATGTTTTTAAAAAATCCTAATGTATGAGACTATTTATGTCTCAAACATACAGAACATAAAATATAAAGAATTACAATTAAATACAGTTATTGTTATCAACTCTCACATTCAAAACATTACGATTACAAAATACTGTTAATATATTACAATGATATTGGCATATCGCGTACGCGTACACAAATGTGCGTCAAACTGAAACGTATATCTTCAATTAGAATAATGTAAAGCTAATTAAATGTTAATATTTAGTTATCTATTGTCCCTGTTAGATATAGTGTAGTTGTGTAACTTGTAATAGTTCATTGAATATTTGTTTGAATTATTTGATATAGTTTTACATTCGATATTCAAAATTTTCCCGCCATTACATGCGTACCATAAGTATTAGAAGCATCCACAAACAGCTGAGGTTAACCTATATTTGCATAATGCATAACAAGACGTTCGAAATTTAAAATATCTGTATACCGAAATTAGTTGAAATTAAGTAATTCCTTTCAGAAAATTAATCCTAAAATGTAATGTTACGAGATATTTGAGGGTATATTTTCCTCTAAGAATAAATAAGACATATTTTATCGCACCCTATTTTGGAAGTAGGTATGCGCAACGCGCTTACTTCTTTCCACATAATGGGAAGGAGTGAGAGGTTACAATGCTATCTGGAGCCTATATTGGTCCAAATGTTTGGTATATATACAAATGTAGGCCATTACGTGGTGTAATGGCTTTGATGTCATCGCAGGTATTAAGAAATATACCTATATCTGATTTCATTTTGATAATGACATTTACGTATATAAAGGCTTGATGAATACTCACTGTTTAAATGTTTAGTGGTAATAATGATAGTATTAAATAGTAATAATGATTTTTCTCTCTCTTGCAATAGATTTATTTAAATGGAAATTAATGGAATGGTACACCCACTTGCGCTAACGGTTTACTCTGGCGGGGTAAGTACCAGTGTAGGATGATAAAATAAACATGAGGTCAGGTCAGTAAGCCCATCGTGACAAATTCAACAAGAACTTATCACGGAGGTCAACCTGATATGAGATAATAGCTGGTAATGAAGTCACACTACTAACAATTCCCTTTCCTCCTGCTGTTGGCAGGAGTAAGTCATTTTGTTATGTCATTATTGTAATAGCATATATAGTCTGTAATACACACGGTAGACATTGCATTGCGTATAAGACGCTTAGTCTACGCTAGACATTTTAAATTGAAAGAAAGAACGTTTAAATATATATAAAACGTGGTATAATACAAAATCGTCTCATTCGCTAATTTATTAAGTATCGAGTACAAAGTAGACTTTATATATCTCTGTCTCATCTATTTCTATCGTCAACAGCAGAGCTAGTCGATAGGGACAGAAATAGTTGTAATAGAAGTATCTATGGGACTTTGTATAAAGTATTCTAGTATTTGGGGCATAATGTCTTTTTTATTCCATTTAATATTCATTTAAACGATATACAACAAATATTTGTCATTTACTCATCATCAAAGATCCAATGAAGATATATAAGTTTCTAAAAAGTCGTTAACTCATCTGAAATACACCTGGGTTTGCGGGTATTTTTTTTATGAATGATAATGGAATGGTGCATCCACCTGCGCTAACGGTTTGCGCTGGCGGGGCACCAGTAGAGGATGATAACATGAGCATGAGGTCAGGTCAGTTAGCCCATCGAGATAATATATCACGATGGTTTCCAGAGGGAACCGCGTGGAGGTAAACCTGATATGGAACATTGCTGGTAATGGAGTCATGATTACACATTATTAACAATCCTCCTTACCGTCAGAGTTAACATACAAACAAAATATGGGATAGTGAAGGGAGATAGCGGCGTGGTGGGTCGGGTCATTGGGCTCCCTAAGATTTAGTCGATCGCAGGGAAGGCTGGCTCATCAGTCATACTCGTGAACGAATGCTGCTTGTAGAGACCGGTCTGCTCAAATTACTACGACTAATTTAATCTTATTCTGTATTTAATATTTTGACCCCGACTGGTAGTTTTGTATTCACATATTTCGACTGTAAATGTAAAGTTATAACGATTATTTAAAAGAGCAACACGTAAGTTACTTGCTCATTCTTCAAGTGATGAGACAGTTTTTCTTGATTAAAAGAAAATAACTATGACTATTCAAAATAGCTAAAATTAAGTTTATTTGAATAAAGTATTTTATGGTATACCTACATTTTTTTTATTTTTAAATGCACTGCCCACATAGATCTCTGTTTGCCCAATGGTTGACTGGGAGAAAATACTTCATGATAAGTCCGCCATATGCCGTAGATATTTGTGTATTTGTGCATAAAAGATTTAATAAATAAATAAATAAATTTTCTAACCTTAGTCTATTCTAGGTGGGATCACCATTTAGAATCGGCTAAGAATAGAATCTTGATTATAATAATTCAACACTACTTTATCTACTTTCAAAGTCATGGTAAATGAATATAAAATATCTATTCGATATCATTAATCTATTATCCGACCTTGGCCCGATGTAATTTCATAGTACAAAAGCCCTGAAACATTCCTGATAATTTCTTTGTAAGCTAATTTATTTTTTCTTTAAATAAGTTTATTTATTATTACTGTTGAGTAACGTACCACCCTTTTTTTACCACCTTCTCTCCATTTTTTTATGTGACTACCACACTCAAATATTATATAAACACATTCAATTAGTGCAACTGAAGTACCGCATAATATTATAATTTGTATGAATATTATTCGGAAAATAAAAATCTCTTAAAAATACATTATTATGTAATATTCTTTCGTAACAATGAAACAGCGCAGCGCTAAGTTCTTAGTGGTCGAATTGTTTACCATCTCAAGTTAAACTGATTCGTTAAGAGTTTAAATTTGGTCGACATAAAAAAATTGTGTAGGACGCGAATTGTGCAGGAATTAAACCCGCGACTATTGGGAGTAAAGCGGTGTGATAAACCGCTGGCTCAAGCAGTTGTTAAAATAAAAGAATTACAGTTCAGTATAGTTCAGTATAGAAAATATCTTTTATCAGACATTTGACGCATTTAATGCTCCACCGAACTTGCGAATTCAAGTTAAACAAATTTTGGCAATTGGGAAGTATCAATGTCGTTCGAAAATTAAGCGAAACAAATCGAAACTAATGAAATTATGTCTCTGTAAGTAGTATAAAATCTGTGATTTGATAAGTCAGTTTCTTGGATTATTTTTCCTTTTCCATTATATGATTCAGACAACCTACGGAAAGAGTAACTGAGAAACACACTTTCACATTTATAATCCCCCCTCCCTCTAATCGATCCCCCGTCCAATTCAAACGAGGATCGAAATTACGACGGTCTGAGCTGAGTTTCGAATCCCTAGCGGTGCCCTCAGACTAAAGTCATATCCGTCAGCTTTCAGCCGCTCCTTAAGTTCTTCCGCAAGTTTGGAGTGCCATCTGCACTCGCTCCTATCTTTGGTG